AACCTAATTAATGAAGCTACAATAAAAGCCAAACGTTCCTAATTTTGAGTGCGTAGATATTACGAGTGTTATCAGAAATTAGTTTTGGAATTCCAAAGTTTTTATTAATTTAGAAGTATTATAATCGAGTCCATCGGACGAATGGCCACTTTCATATTTTTTCGACGTTTCATGATTCCTACAGTTTCCGTCTATCTGTCTGTCTGTCTGGTGTCTGTATCCATTTTTACAAGACACGCAATTTCCGAAACTGCTTGACCGATTGTTGTCAAATTTTGTATGTATATTGAAAATATTATGCTAACCAAAATTTTTCTATTCATCCCCACCAACAACGGATTTTTTTTTGTTCTTGTACTATCCTGGTATTTTACCGGGTGTGTGAAAAATGGTGGATTAACTCTTCATGATGTTATGTACGGGGGTTTCGGAAGTCTCAAAAAAATAAAAAAAATCTTTGAGAAGAAGATTAAGAAAAAAAACGTAATTTTATAAAAGTTAAATTGGCAACACTGGCAAATGACATACCCTCTAAGAAAGGAGAGGGCGGGTGGGCGGGACTAGTAGCTGCTCAGATAAGACTGATTTTGGCAAATGAGATATCCTGTAAAAAAAGACAGGGTGGGTGGGCGCGGTAGTACCTGCTAAAATAAAACTGATTTTGGCAAATGACATACCCTCTAAGAAAGGAGGGGGTGGGTGGGTGGGGTTGGTACCTGCTAAGATAACGCTGATTTTAGCAAATGACGTATCCTCTAAGAAATTGACTTAAATTATTATAAGAAAGGACACTAGAGGATCCAAAGCACTTTCAAATTCTTTACAAACAAGAATACTAGAACCACAAATTGTTTTAAATTTGTCAAAAAAAAAAAACGGCCTACTCAAAACTCAAAAACAGGTCAGGTCAGAATTTTCCAAAAACAGAACACCAAAGTCCCCCAAAATTGTTTTAAATAATTTACAAAAAGAATCTCCATGGGCTCCCAAAACAATACATCACGGGTACCCAAGAGTTTCTCGAATAAAAAAAAAAAAAAACACTGTGGGACTCAAGACTTTTTCAAATTGGTAAAAAAAAACAGGAAAAGCAAGTTCACCGAGCAACAAAACACCAGATTCCTTTAAATTTATCCGAAAATAAAACACCAAGGAACTGAGAATGCTTACATAATTAATTGATCCACTCATCTGTATTGAAGAGACAAAATCAATCAAATTTCAGTTTCTTTAAACACATATGCATGTATTTAATGCCACTGTTACGTACTTCAATGACGGCGCTGATACGATATGATGTGATAATGATCGAATTCTTTCGAAGTTTAAACATATATAGTCAAAAGTTAGACAACGACTAGGAATTAAGAACACATTATTTCCCGCTGATTATCTGCTTTAAATATATTTCATATTGTCCGCATTTGAGGGGGTGTTATTTAACCGACTAGAGCGAGGGAAGTTCTGTCGAAATAACCTTCCATCAATTTTTTTCTTGCATGGGTATAACGCTGTGACTACTTTTCTTTTGTGATGTGAATAGAAATATCCTTTTGATGACGTCATCACAAAATTGGTCAAATTAAGAACGAGGCGCCCCATTATCTCGAAAATGTGAAGAATACGGACGTCTTTATATAATAATGATAAAATAAGAATTATAATATTTAGAACGTTTTGTTCGATTGTGGTTTAATTAATAATTTTAGTCCTTTGTTTTGACAAGACAAACGAATTCAAATCTAATTTCTACCTGACATTCTTCCGATGTATAAACATAAATAAACACTTGAGCTTCACATTTTACCTAGTGCTGAAGGACAAGAAGCTCTGATTTTTACTTTACCGGGGTTATCAGAAAACGAAAATCGTAAAATCAATTTTATAATTTTTTTAAAGGGCTGAATTTGTCGGATTATACTTATATAGCCCTCGACCATTTTTTTATTAATCAAATTAAGAACCTCATTTTCTAGAAAATGTGAGATTACCCACGTTTTTATTTAATTATGATCAAATAAAAATAATATTAATCATATTCAAAACATTTTGATCCATTGTGGCTTAATCAATGATTTTAGTTTTCTGTTTTGAGGAAACAATTCATTCAAATTAAACAAATTTCTAAGTGACACATGTTTCGATGTATTAACATAAACAGTCGAAGTTAAGCATGCACACTAATAATAATACACTCTTTTCCGTTGGTTATTTGCTTTGAATACACTTCATATTGTCTGTATGTCTAGGCAGCTCCTTGGAATTTTGCACCGCCGAGGCCAATGGTTTTTTAATTCTTTACCAAAAAACGGGATATCTAAAAGCGGTTTACCATCTAACACGATATTCCTAATATCCATATAAAATTTGACAACAATGGGTCCAATAGTTCAGAGATTCTCTGCCTAAAAAAATCAACACAGACAGACCAACAGACAGACAGACGAAAACATGAGACCCATTTTTCGTGCTACAGCGATCATGAAACGTTGAAATAGTTATTGGTCGGATGAACCATACTACAATACTTCTTTAGCTTACGCTCGGGAAGTAAAAAATTGCATAAAGTTATTTAAACCGAACTTCCATAGTTCCAGAAGCAACATCCAGCAAGTCCAGATTCTTAGATAAATTATAAAATGTGTTCATTCTATTTTAGAATCATCAGCTTGTTTATACACCCACGGTCATAATTTTCGATTGTGGCCCTCGGGAAATTAAAAGTCCTTCCTAGTGCCATAATCTCCCTAATTATGCTCTTAATACATAAATAACTATTATGTGAATTTTCTTTTTTTATATCCCGTGTAAGCTCAAATAAAAATAGATCGGAAATTAAACTAAAGGTAAACAAACATACTATGTGTGAATTCCAAGTGAAATGTCCTTAACAAAATTTTGACATAATGCATTACATATTTAGCAAAAATGAGCAGACAAATTTTAATGAGCATCCTAAGATAAATAAATTTACATCAATCTGTCCAGTACTTTCGAAAATTTTTCGCTAACAAAATTGCCAACAGACGTCAGACGACAAAAAAATGGATTTTTTTTTGCTTAAGGACAAGGGCTGTTATTTATGCCTCTGGTTTTTACTTTACAGCGGTTAGCACAAAACGAAAATCGTAAAATCAAATTTTGTATATATTTTTTAATAGGCTTTGACTAATAATGCCGCAGGAATTATAATTTGTCAAATGAAAAAACAAAATAACGGCAGTTGTCAAAAAAAAATCTTGTCACCCATTTTCTAAGTGTTCGAAATGTTTTTAAGATGGTCTACCACCTCATAAAATATTCTAGAACTATGAAATCTGCTAAACTGTTTTCTATTTCGAACTTTATTTACTCCTGTCCTGCAGATGAAATATTTTTGATTTTTCTCAAATAGAATTCTTCCAGCATTTTTTTAAATTTAAACCGACAAATAAATCATTTCTGTGTGAAAGATAATAATTTGCTCCAAAATTGAAATCTCCCTGTATCTCTTTCTCCCAAAAAGTTTTGATCATAAATTTGCCATACTTATGAGAACTTTTAAAACATCTGCAAGGTTTCAAAGCACTCAGTTTTGCAGTTTCTGTCACCTTGTGTAAGTAATTCTAAAAAACTCATTTTGAACATTTTTGATAGGATTTATTTGTCAAAATTTTGAGATGACGTCATCATTTTTTAAGGGGGTAAATTTTGATTAACGATTTACCATGTTTTGGATAATCTTAAAACATTTGCAAGGCAAGAGCATTCGCAAAAGTAAATTGTACAATGTTAGTCTACAATTTTGATTATTTTTACAAAAATTTGGACGCCTAGGGTAAATCTCAACACGGATTCATAAACTACAAGTGGAGGAATATGTTATTTTATAAAATTTACTTAACCTTTACAATTGTAAAAGACAAATTTTGGTCGGTCGGGTAGTTTAGAAGATATATACTTTTATTATATATTAATTATATTTATAAACGGCAGACGACAGACAGACGGAAACGGAGATCTATATAGCGTCTACAAACGAGAAACAAATGCATTAAATAGGTGTGACGTAAGCCTAATAAACTATATAAAAACATAAAATAGCACTCTGACAAATTTTTGTCGTTTCCATAAATCCTTATCCCATAGATGAGTACGTGTAGGCTTCCAACACATATATAAAAAAATTGAAACTTCCATTTTAGTTTCAACGTCCGACAAATAAGGAAAAAAGTCGAGTAATTAAAAAGTGAAAAACGAGAGATCTTTATCATACAACAGCAGGTGATCAAGTGAAAAAAATCCCTAAAGTGGGTGTTGCATAGTTACGGTATGCGGTAATCTGTGGAATCACTTGTTCAAAATCAAGTTTTTCAAGAATAAAAAACGTACTTTATGCAGCTTATTAGCGTTGAACAACTGTCGCTAAAAAGACGAAGGCTTGTATTTGCTATCTGCAGTTCAACATCACCATTTCAAGGAACACGCCTGCCAAAAACCTTATCGTCTATCAAGGAACATTGACATTGAAAAATTTGTCTTTTGTCTTCGATCCAACGATACAGCGAACGTACTCGTAGGAGTTCGAGTTCGTGTGGCAAAATTCCGATTCCTGTGACGAATCGCCGAATTCCATCAATCTAGTTTGACGAAAAGAGCGCAACATCGCTCTCGTTCCGATCGACCGTCGCCGAGTTTAATAACGCCTAACAACCATGACATAATAACACGAAGAAATAATACCATCCTACGAGAAAATAAAAAGTACGCCGACAACATTAACACTTCTAAATATAGAGCAGAAGCAAGACAAGACGGCCTCAGCGGGCCCCAGAAAAACGCGAACCGAACAAATTGATTTATTAAACGGCGATAATCTTCCTCGACTATGAATAAATTTTCATACGGAATGAATCGGTGGCGCATCGCGGCTCGTACTCTCCGAAGCATAGATGAAGAAGAAAGAGGAAGATTTCTTCTGCTGAGTTTATTTAAGGCCGTTGTACCCGAGTAAAAATTACCTTTCAATTGGGTGCTTTCGATGGCGAACATGTTGAGTGCCAGTAGTTGCAAGAACCTGTTGCACGGCAGGGGCACCGGCGAGTGTTGCAACAACGCCCGAAACTCCTTCAGCATCTGCATGGCGGTCTCCTGGAAGCTCTCCATTCTGGAACAGAACAACCGAAAGTTGAACATTGTAAAAACGCACGCATTCCGCTCAAAGGTGACCATAACTGTATCGCATAATCAAAAATAGCGGTTTCTGATTTTATTTTTCAGCGCCGCTATTATGACGGACAATTATGACGGACGGAGAGGCGACCTCGAACGACCTTGACGCGCTTCTTTCGTACTTTCCGGAAGTTTTTTCGGCAGCTGGTACGGCTGGATCGACTTCAGTTAAATAGGAGCCAATTAATGACGCAGTAACTGCTAGAGAGGCGTTCTGCGTATCGAAGACAAACGAACTGTATTAGAATATAACATCTGCATATACGGCGGACAAATGAAAGAGCGAAGCGAGCGACATATGTCATACAAGCGATAAAAATGCAACCATAAACTGTACGATACGTCAAGTGCATTATTTATTTACAGAAGTCATACGTTAACGACAACGATTTTTATTAGACAGATAAAACCACAAACTACTGGACCGATTGTTGTCAAATTGTACATGTGTATTAGGAATGACGTTTTCAAAGCACAAAAAAATTGTGAGGAGTATTTTAGGTACACCCTCCACCCAGACTTGCAGAATCACATTTCCCCTAAATTTAATATTCTTACAATAACTCTGTAACTCGTTTTTAGAAATAAAAATAATTTTGTATCAGTGTTCTCCATTCTACAAACATTAAGAATAAATCCAAATTTATGGTCCCTGTATAGTGAGTCAAAAAAAAAAAATAAATAAATGAGACAAATTATTATACTGATTAAAATCAAGAACGACTGTTATTATTAATTAGTATGACAGTGCATCTATCCAAATTGATATACGTACCTTACAAAAAATATCGATGACGTCATCTTTATTTCAACTTTAAGAGTTATAATAAAAAATAAAATTCGCAAAATGAAATCTTATAATTTTTCGAAGAATTTGGATTTATTTACTTTCGACCACATTTCGATTTCACAATTTTTCGTTTTTCCATTTTTCAATGTTTCGGTTTCGAAATTGTTCGTTTTTTTAACTTCAATTTTTCAATTGCTCGACTTCCATCCAAATTTTTCGATTTGAAATTTTTCAATTTTGTAATTTTGCGATATTACAATTTTTCAGTTTCTCAATTCTTAATTTTTCAATTTTTGAATTTTTCGTTACCTCAAATTTTAAAGTTCTTAATTTTTATTAGCATTTTCCCAATTGTTTATTTTCATTTCCTGGATTTTGTACGACAATTTTTCGTTTTGTCATTACGTTTATTTTTTTCAATGTTTCTTTCGATTTTATAATTTTTCGTTGACTCAATTTTTCAATCTTTAATTTTTCAAGTTCTTCTTTCCAATTTTTATTTTTCACTTAACACCTTTTTGTTTTTTGGTTTTTTCATTTTTTATTTTTCAATTTTACAATTTACAATTTTTGTATTTTTTTCATTCGAAAAGTCGAACAATCGAAAAATTAAAAACCGAAAAACTAAAAAACCGGAAAAAATGGAAAAACTGAAAAAACAAAAAAAAGGAAAATCGAGAAACCGATAAAACAAAAAAACTGGAAATTCGAAAAAGTTGAAAACTGAAAAATTGCAAATCGAAGCACTGAAGAAACGAAATATTGAACCATTCAGAAATTAAAAAAAGAGAAACTTAAAATATGAAAAAAATTAATCGAAACATTGGAAAGCCCAAAAATTGTAAAATCTAAAAACTTTGGCGATTCAGTAATATCGAAAAATTGAAAAATGAAATATCGACAAATTGAAAAATTAAGAATCGAATAAACGGAAAAGCTTTAAAATTCAATAATTCGGAAATGGAAAAATTTTGAAAACGTAAAATTAAAAGCGAAAAATTTTTATATTTCAAATTAAAACTAGAAAAATTGCAAATCAACAAATGAAGAAACGAAGGATTAAAACGACGAGAGGAACTGAAAAATCTAAAATTGAAAAACGAAAAATGAAAAATTCCAAAAATTGAGAAAAATCGAAAAAGTGAAAACCAAAAAAAAATCGCAAATCGAAAATTGTAAATTTCACATGAAAAAAGAAGAAAACCCGAAAAGAAAATAAAAAACAAAACGAAAAATTGAACAAATCAAAAATTAAAGAATGGAAAAACTGCAAAATTTAAAAATCGAAGAAACAAGAAAAATAAAAAAATTGAAAATTGAATACATAAATGAAAAAGTTTTGAAACCAATAACTGAAAAAGCGAAATATTAAAAAAAAAAAACAATTGCAAATAGAAAAATTGAAAATCCACAAACTCAAAATTTTCACATTGCAGAAAAGAAAAATTTGAAAATCAAAATACTGAGGAACCAAAAAATTGTAAAAATTAAAAAAAATAAAAAACCAAAACGAAAAATTGCAAATCTAATAATTGAAAAAATGAAAAATAGAAAAATCTAAAGCATCAAAAATTAAAAATTGAAAACTCTTAAAATTGCAAATTGAAAAAGTGCAAAATCTAAAAATTGAAACATCCAAAAGTTACAAAATCGGAAAACTAAAAAATTTTAAAATGAAACTCGAAAAGTTAAATTTAGTAAAATTAAAGAAACAGAAAAAAGTAAAGAAGAAAAGAAACAATAAATTGAAAAAAGTGAAATCGAAAAAAGAAAAAATTATAAAATCGGAACATTGAAAAATCGAAAAATTGTAAAAAAGAAAATAAAAAAAACTGAAACGAAGAACTGAAGAAATGAAAAATTAAAGAGTCGACAAACTGCAAAAGAAAAAACGCAAAAGAAAAATTGCAAATCTAAAGATTTAGGAAATGAAAAATTAAAAAATCGAATGCATAAATGAAAAACTTAAAAAATCCAACAATTGAAAAAGTGAAAAGTTGCAAAATCGACAAACTGAAAAAATTTAAAGAGAAAACTCGAGGAGTTGCATGTCGTAAAAATTTAGAAACAAAACCAATGAAAAAATGAAAAATTGAAAAATCGCGAATAGAAAAATTGAAGAAAAGAAAAATTAAAAAAACAAAAAAAAAATAAAATCGGAACATTAAAAAATCGAAAAATTGTAAAAAAGAAAATAAAAAACGAAACGAAAAATTGAACAAATCAAAAATTAAACAATTAAAAAACTGCAAAATCTAAAAATCGAAAAAACAAAAAAAATAAAAAAATAGGAAATTGAATACATAAATGAAAAAGTTTTGAATCCAGTAACTAAAAAAGCGAAATATTAGAAAAAAAAGCAATAACAAATAGAAAAATTGAAAATCCACAAATAGAAAATTTTCACATTGCAGAAAAGAAAAATTGGAAAATCAAAACATTGAGAAACCAAAAAATTGAAAAAATGAAAACTCTTAAAATTGCAAATTGAAAAAATGCAATACCTGAAAATTGAAACATCCAAAAGTTAGAAAATCGGAAAACTGAAAAATTTAAAAATGAAAGTCGAAAAGTTGCATTTCGTAAAATTGAAGAAACAAAAAAATGAAGAAGAAATGAAACGAAAAATTGAAAAAAGGAAATCGAAAAAACAAAAAAATATAAAATCGGAACATTGAAAAAACGAAAAATTGTAAAAAAGAAAATAAAAAAAGTGAAACGAAAAATTGAAAAAATGAAAAATCAACGAGTCGAAAAACTGCAAAATGTCAAAATCGAAGAAACAAGAAAAATGAAAAACTGAAAAATCGAATACATAAATGAAAAAGTGAAAAATTAAAAAAAACTGCAAATTGAAAAACTGAAAAATCCACAAATAAAAAAATTTCACATTGAAAAAAAATAGAAAATCAAAATATTGAGAAACTGAAAAATTGAAATAAAGAAAATAACCTAAACAAAAAATTGCAAATCCAAAAATTGAAAAAATGAAAAATTGGAAACTCATAAAATTGCAAATCAAAAAAGTGCAAAATCTAAAAATTGAAACATCCAAAAGTTGGAAAATCGGAAAACTGGAAAATTTTAAAATGAAACGCAAAAAGTTGCATTTCATAAAACTCAGGAAACAAAAAAATGATGAAGAAAAGTGAAATCGAAAAATCTAAAAAACAAAAAAAGTATAAAATCAGAACATTGAAAAATCGAAAAATTGTAAAAAAGAAAATAAAAACCAGAAACAAAAAATTGAAGAAATGAAAAATTAAAGAGTCGAAACACTGCAAAATCTAAAAATCGAAGAAACACGAAAAATGAAAAATTGAAATATGGAATACATAAATGAAAAAAACTTTCAAATCGAAAAACTGAAAAATTCACAAATTGAAAAAAAAAATTTAAAATTAAAACGAAAAATTGCAAATCGAAAAACTGTAAATCCAAAAATTGAAAAAATGAAAAATTTAAAACATACAAAATTAAAAATAGAGCACTCTTAAAATTGCAAATGTACAAAATCTAAAACTGAAACATCCATAAGTTGGAAAATCGGAAAACTGAAAAACTTAAAAACGAAGACTCGAAAATCATAAGAAACAAAAAAAAAATATGAAAGAAACGAAAAATCGAAAAAAGTGAAATCGAAAAATCAAAAACTTATGAAATCCGAACACCGCAAAATCGAAAAATGGCAAAAAAGAAAATAAAAAACTGAAACTAAAAATTAAAGAAATGAAAAATTAAAGAGTCGGAAAACTGAAAAATATAAAAATTGAATACATAAATGAAAAAGTTTTAAAACCCAATCATTGCATACGCGAAAAAAAAATGCAAATCGGAAAATTGCAAATCCAAAAATTGAAAAAATGAAAAATTGAAAATGTCTAAAACATGAAAAATTAAAAATTGTAAACTCATAAAATTACAAATCGAAAAGGGGAAAAATCCAAAAATTGAAACATCCAAAAGTTGGAAAAACGGAAGACTGAATACTTTAGAAATGAAAACTCGAAGAGATGCATATCGTAAAATTGAAGAAACAAAAAAAAATGAAGAAGAAAGAAAAGACAGGTAAAATGTAAAAATTAAAAATTGAAAACTCGAGAAATTTTAAATTGAAAAACTGCAAAATCTAAAAATTGAAGAAA